TCAGAACTTTAGGGACCAAAAATTAATTATCCGGAACTTTATGGGTCAATAATTAATTGTTGGAAATTTTAGGAGTCAAAAAATTAATTATCCAAAACTTTAAGGACCCAAAAATTAATTATTCAAAACTTTAGGGTCAAAATTAATTAATTTTAAATTTTATGAGGTAAAATTTAAAATCTTTTGGGGTCAATTAGAACAAAATCAAAAACTTTGAGGGCTTTAATTGCAAAATGCAGAACTAAAATGACCCAAATTAATTAATTTTAAAACTCCAGGGACTGAATTTATATAATCCCATAACCTTAAGACCCAACTTAAATAAATTTTTAACTTTAGGGGTTGAAAAATTTAAACCCATAACCTTAAAACCCAATTAGGATTAACTTTAGATTTTAGGGGCTGAATAATAAATAACTCAACCATAACCCTAATTTTTAATTGCAAGCAGGGGCCCCAAAACTTCAAATTTGTAGCCCAAGCCCCCGCCCCCAAAAATTCCAAAAAACTGAAAATCTTTATGGCCAAAACTGAAAACTTTAATGGGGAAAAAACCCTTTCATCTCTTCCAAATGGGGCTATCAGACGGCAACCCCCCTGCACGCCGGCAGCGACCGGCGCTGCTGTAACAGCAGCGGTAGCCACGCTACCACCGGCAACGGTGACTGCCACACAAATTTTTTTTTTCAACAGATCTGAAATCCATTCTTCCAAAAATTCAAATTTATGAAGAAAACCTTTAATAATATCATCAAGTCATGCTAATTACATGAAATAACATATCAAATTGAAGAACCATAACATAATATGCTTGAATTTCATAAAATAGTATGAAGTTCAAATAATCCATAAAAATTTAGAATTAAAAAAACTTCAATTTCTCACGAATTCCAACTATGGATTAGCTCTGATACCACTTATTAGAAAAACATAATAAAATTATCGATCAAAACAATAATCAAATCCTTAATTCTCAAAATATAACCATCCATGTTGAAATCAATGAGAATGAAAATAGCGAAAGTATAAACATACCTTGATCCATAGATTTCTAATTCTTTGTCTGAATGAGTTATGATCTTCCAATTTGATTTGTGATCTTCTTTTCAATTTCGATCTCTGTTGATGGGGATGCAGAAAATCTAGAAGAACATAACAAATGGGGACCATTACCCCATATAACTATAAGATAATGAATGGTCATTATCTTTCATTTGTTTCAAATCGGCCCCTCATCAATTTAAAACAAACATCCGATCTATACACTTTAATTTCATGAAACATAATACCCATTAGTCAAAATTCATCTTTAGTGGATCACTTTAATTGACTAATATCCTGTAAATAATAGCACCACACATTTTAATATACAACGTGTGACCCCATATATGTTGAAATTATCCAACAGTTCCTTGTTCAAAATTGTGTTACCTAACAAGACGATGACTCCTTGCTCTTAGCCCTATTGAGGGTGAGACAATGCAAGCCTTGTTATTGCCTCCCTACCTATCATATCCGGCGTAGGAGTTATCAAACAATTTCACCTTCGTCAAGATGTTTTTACGTATATAAATGGTGCAGAATAGTGTTAAGATTATGGGGAGTGATTGGGATTTTTAAATCTAAAAGCAAGGTGTTTCCCTCTCTAGAATCAAGGTTTATTTTGAAAATCGATAAAGAAATGTCACGCATGAACAAATCACAACGTCTCGTTGCGGTATGTCAAACACTCAGTCCTTGTTTGATAAAAAAATTATCAATTTTTCAACTGATTAAACCTCAATTTTAACAACATATTTCAAAGAACCCAACATTTTTTTTATCAACTTTTAATCACTTATCAAATAATAAGGCATAATGTCAAATCTGGGGAGGATGCCCCTAATAGACGCTTTCTAAAAAGCGTAAAGTATGATTAGGTATGGATGTCAAGCTTTCCGAGCCTAAGCGAACTTAGGTGGGTCTAGGCTTAAAAAAACCATTTTCTTACTTTTAATATTATTTTAAAATTTTAAATCATTCTAAAAATTATTTAATAATTAATTTAGTACATACCAAATATCTAAAGACTTCCAAAAACTTGAAACAAAAATTAAATGAAGATTTTTTTAAAAAGGAAAAAATAAATAAATTAATAAAGCGTACATCAACTTGCCATAGGAAAATCTTGAAACTAAAGTCAAATAAAAGCTTTTAAAAAGGGAAAAAACAATAATAATGAAGCACACCTAAGTGTGTATTAAGCGATCAAATTGACAGTTGACTGCTTAATTTCACATTTACCACTAAGGCGCGACGTTTCATTCGCGCTTCACAGCGATGTTTAAATGTGCTTTTTAAAACACGGCTAATAGGTGACAAATTATATAACATTTTCAGACTTTTAGTGATTGAATAAACTTTTAAGACTAATTTAAGATTTTGAGTGACCTAATATTTTACGAATCTTGCTATACATATATCAAGATTTATTCAATGATTTTTATAATGCTACGTATCACTCTATCATTTGTCAGTTTAAAACACAATTAATTTTTTCATCCAATTTTTTTCCACCACATCATATTATGCAATTCATTATGTACATTTTTTCACGTACAAGTAGAAAAATCCATATTTTACACATTTCGTCCTCGTTCTTATCTTTGCTCTCCTTGTCCCTGTATAAGTTTTCTTGCAATTACTACATCTAAATTCGCCCGTAGGGCTTCTATATAGATAAGGTCCCAAAAATTCATGGAATAGATTATAGATATTTCCATCGTTCAAAATCTTCAATCCCCCATCTCCATTTCTCATTGCCCTCCCTCAATGGCTGCTGCAAAACTCACCATACCTTTAGACCTTCACTGTAATAATACACCGTATCACCCCTTAGACACGAAGCACCATCACCCACTTCACTTCACCTCTCTTCACAAACTTCCCAACAAAAGACAATTCACCATTTTTTGCAGTTCCTCCAAGAAAGTTCCACCAAATACTGCAGAATTGGAGTTTCAAGAGCACAAAAATCCATCTTTGTCTGAGCAACTTAAGCCCCTATCCAGAATCATTATTTCTGACCAACCAAACCAACCGCATCAGCTCTTATCCAAGCCTAAGTCCACTTGGGTCAACCCTGCCAAGCCTAAGCTTGCCGTGCTTTCGTTACAACGCCATCAGCGCTCCTCTTATTCATATAATTCCCAAATCAAAGACCTAAGGTTTTTTGCCAAGAAGGTTAATGAGTGTGGCTCCTCTGAGGAAGCTTTCTTGGCTGTACTTGAAGAAATCCCACACCCTCCCACTAGAGAAAATGCACTTCTGGTGCTAAACAGCTTGAGGCCATGGCAGAAGACTCTTCTTTTCTTCAAATGGGTAAAGGCCCAGAATTTGTTTCCCATGGAAACAATCTTTTATAATGTGACCATGAAGTCTCTGAGGTTTGGGAGACAGTTTCAGCACATTGAGAACCTTGCATTTGAGATGATAGAAAATGGAGTTGAGCTTGATAATATTACTTATTCGACTATAATTACGTGTGCAAAAAGGTCCAATATTTTCGACAAGGCAGTGGAGTGGTTTGAGAGGATGTATAAGACTGGATTGATGCCAGATGAGGTCACATACTCTGCTATTCTTGATGTGTATGCTAAATTGGGTAAAGTTGAGGAGGTGTTGAGTTTGTATGAGAGAGGGAGAGCAAGCGGTTGGAAGCCAGACCCCATTGCTTTCGCAGTTTTGGGAAAGATGTTTGGTGAGGCAGGAGATTATGATGGCATTAGGTATGTATTGGAAGAGATGAAGTCACTTGGGGTGCAACCCAATTTGGTCGTATACAACACATTGTTGGAGGCAATGGGTAAGGCCGGGAAGCCTGGCTTGGCTAGGAGCTTATTCGAGGAGATGGTGGATTCAGGGATTGTACCAGATGAAAAGACGTTGACAGCATTAATCAAGATTTATGGCAAGGCTAGGTGGGGTAGAGATGCATTGCAGCTTTGGGAACGAATGAGATCAAACGGTTGGCCAATGGATTTCATTTTGTATAATACATTGTTGAGTATGTGTGCTGATCTTGGGTTACAGGAAGAGGCTGAGAAGCTGTTTGAGGAGATGAAGGGATCAGAGAAATGTAGGCCTGATTGTTGGAGTTACACAGCAATGCTTAATATATATGGGAGTGGAGGAAATGTTGAAAAGGCAATGGCTTTGTTCAAGGAAATGTCTAAGTTAGGTGTTGATCTCAATGTCATGGGATGTACTTGTTTGATTCAATGCTTGGGGAGAGCAAAGAAAATTGATGATTTGGTTCGGGTGTTTGAGACCTCAGTAAAGGAAGGAGTAAAACCCGATGATAGGCTATGTGGGTGCTTGCTCTCCATTTTATCATATTGTCAAGGTGAGGAGATGAACAAGGTCCTGGTCTGTTTAGAGCAAGCTAATCCAAAATTGGTTGCCTTTGTGAAGCTGGTGGACGAAAAGAGCACCAACTTAGACACTGTGAAAGAAGAGTTCAGGATCATACTCACTAACACAGCGGTCGAGGCCAGGAGACCCTTCTGTAATTGTTTGATCGATATATGCCGAAACAGAAATCTCAACGAAAGAGCTCATGAGCTCCTGTATGTGGGTATCATCTATGGATTGTATCCAGGTTTGCATACCAAGACCGCACAGGAGTGGCGTCTCAATGTCCGGTCACTATCAGTCGGTGCGGCACACACTGCATTTGAAGAATGGATGAGTAGTCTAGCAAAAATAGTCCAACGCCAAGAGACATTGCCGGCAGTGTTTTCTGCCAACACTGGAACTGGAACTCACAAGTTCTCTCAAGGTTTAGCCACTGCCTTTGCTTCCCATGTGGAGAAATTTGCTGCTCCTTTTAGAGAGAGTGAGGAAAAGGCTGGTTTTTTCATTGCGACTCGAGAAGATCTAATATCATGGGTGCAATCAAAAGGTGGTTCAATTGTGACCATAGCATAAATCAAACTGTAATTTTGAACTGAAACAATGTTTAGAACTTTTGTGTTGAGATTATAATTTATATTATAGATTAACTAAAAGTTCCTATTAATGTTTGTTATATGAACCATAGTTTTCAGACCCACTCCAGGCAGTGACCCAGATGACGTGATGGGTCACCGTGACGATTGCAGGGTGGTGGACCGGATTGATGGGCTGGTTATTGGTTTTCCAGTTGAGCCACTGAGCCAGTCCAAGTCTTGAAACAATTATATAAATTGCATCAAGTAGAAATCAACCTTGTAAGGAAATAAGACATGATTTTCAATAGAATATTTTCTTTATAAACCGAATGGGTGGAAATCCACCTTCAAAATTACATTGTGGATTCTCTCTCATCTTCGACAAAGCCAGATGTCAAGCTCTGTAACTGACCCCCCCAACCAACTACATACTTTCTAGCTCTAAAATAAAAAGCAAAATGAATAAAAAGACCCTCCATTTCTGCAAAGAGAAAAAACCACTGTAGATAATTTCTCCAGACAAGTTCACCAGTCCCAACTACAAAATTTTTCTATTCCTGAACATTTTTTTGCAATTGCTTGAGCATTATATTTGAGTCCTTGCCCCTTGAAATGTATGATTTCTTCCCTACAACTGCAGCATACTTTGTTTGAGATGAAAGTCTATGAACCCATGAAATTGGGTAAATCTTCAGTTCTCTAAGCTGCTTGCAGGCACTTTAGGTGGGGATCGAAACAAGAATCTAGCTGTCTATGCGTCGAGATGTTGCCAGCAATGAGGTGTCATAGGTATTTTCCAGATGACTTCCAGATTCTTCCCTCAAGAGATACAACCATAACCGTAACATCATCATGGTACTTCCTGCGGTCTCCTTGAGGAATGTCCAGCAGCTCATGGAAATCCATTCCTACAAATATCAATTTGATTCAGAATATGCAGGCTAATAAACGATGAAGATTGTCTCATTAAATGACCAATCAATATATATAGCCCTACAATCAAAATTAGACGAGCAAAGATGACAAGTTTGAGATATAGTAGAGAAGCAAATAAAGACAAAGGTCATCTCTTCCCAAACCAACTTCCAAGAAGTGGCCCAAGCAGGAAAAGATTCAAATGTCAACCCAGCAAACCTAAACAGTAAATTTGAATATTAGTATCTGGTCAATAGACCCAGTCAAGGTCAGGAGATCTATGCTGATAAATTTGTATATAATCAATCTGGTACCCCTTGTCTACGTCCATATGATTAGTACACAAAAAGTGTTGCTTACGCAGTTGCAAATATCTTGTTGTTGTCCCCCTTATGTGTATGGACATCAGCTAAGCCAGCAAGCGGTTAATGTCACAGTGAAGTGCTACATTACTACTATTGAGTCCTTGCTTTTATTTCTATATCAGAACATCACCTTCACTTCATCAAACCATCATAGTCCCAACAACCATCTCAACATCTGCCTGCATTTATGTCTAGGTGGAATACATTGTTTCAACAACAACAATCTTGGACCAAATATCTTATATTTTCAGTATTAGATTATGATTGCTCCAAACATGACAAGTAAAATGCCGATATTTATTTAACCGAGAAAGAAAAGCCAATGTTTGAATTGAGAAAGCCCAAAGTTAACAAATCTCAAACGCTTTTGCTCATATTGATGTTGATTGAAAATTAACACCATTAGATACTACAAAAATTATTTTGCAGAATGTTTTTTCATGTTATATTAATGGAATCACCAATCATTTGAAATAAATAAGCAGATACTAACTGTAAATTCCAAGTCAGTTTCCCTGTTGCCCCCTGCCCCACAGACCCAAAACAAGAGATAGATATTCTCCCAGGATCTTCATCCCAAAGTGACCTAATTACGTTACATAGCCTGGTACTTGAGTTCTTGAGAAAATAGTACAAGATAATAAACTCAAGGACTAAGAAAACAATCAAACAACTATACCAGGTGTATGAAGAGTAAGATGGGGCACTGGTACATCATCTAGCAGTGCAAATAGATCTCAATGTAGTGACATATTTCAGTAAAGTCAAACATACATGCACCCAGTATCAAAATCCTAGCATTCACACCCTACATGACTACGGAGTCCTAATTCTTGATGACCAGTTAAAGTCTCCCATCTCCGACTATACTGTAACAAACAATTGCATAGTGCACGAGCAAATTCAGCCCCTGTTTGATAACCATTATTTGAAAACTCTTATTTTCTACATACTCATTTTCAACCACATATTTACGCAATAAAATATTTTGCACATAAAGCCAAAACATTTCCCCAATTTTAACCACACATTCTTCTAAAAAACGCTATTCAAAACTTTATTTATCCCAATTATTGATTGTCAAACAGGGGGCTAATATATAAGAGAGGACAAAATGGACAAAATCTCATGATCAGTTTCAAATGACAACTTCACATAAAAATCAAAATAGTACCGCACCAGGTAACTAGGACTTGAACTCAGTAGAAATATAACGATCACAAATATTTTAGTTCAAAAGGCTTCACCCAAATATATTCAACTACTTCTAAGGTTAAAAAAAGTTACCAGCTTTTTTGGCTGCACGGAAGAGAAGCTCCTCTATCAGGTGTTGAGCTGGGTCACCATCAGGAAACTTCTCCATAAGATTCGCAATAAGGCTAACAACCTCTTGATTGCTCAAATACTGATACAAACCATCAGATGAGAGCACCAAAAATTGATCCATGGGGGACAGCTTATGGTGGCAAAGAGAAGGAGAACAAGATATGTAAGCTGCAGTACCAATATACTCATTCCGAAACATTTCCAACAAGCCATCATTCCATTTAGGCTGCGTCAACATGCATCACAAAGCATTAAGAAACCAGCACGGCATGCACATAAAAAAAATAAAAAAAAATATCATGTCTCAATGTGATGGGAAGCATTTAACATTGGTAAAATAACTGTAAGCTTTAATCAGATAAATACATCATCTAAGTTCAATAGATAAAAGATGGAAATTAATTAACAAACATCAAGAATCAAATAGCAGCAGCAAACACATGCAGATTATATAATGAACCAACATTAACAATAGTAAAGTTAGCTGAATGAAGTAGTGTATATCAATAATGTAATCTATGGGACATACGCAATGTGTACTACAAATCTTTGGTATTTTTGCAATTATGATACAATGAAACCAAGCTTCCAGATAATCAACTTTCAGCATAAAAAATAAGCGAGCAACTTATTGTTATCAAAGAACCAAAACACAGAGTTTCAAGTTTGGGAAAATTGATAGCATGAAGTTGAAGACCATACGACTTTTTAAGATATGATTGTCACGCAGTTATAAAGCTCTTAGGAAGATATATACTCTATCTTGAGAATTTTGGATAAATTCTAAATATGTGTTATCCCTTCAAAAAAACTCAATACACATAGATGTACGAACATGAACAGAATTAACAGTGCTGGCAATTAATGGACAAACCTGTTTGAGGAAGCCAGCCCCAAATGCACGAGTAACTTTAAGACGACCTTTAACTCTACCATTGACAATACAACTGCTGTCATCTGGATGTTCATTCTTGATTCTAAGAACTTCCTGGAAATGACAAAACAACGAAAGGTTACATGCAGTTTTACATGGCCAATGTTCTAAGAAGCACAGATTCGGATACGATACAAATACGTCGATACAGCTTTCTTTTAAAAATTAGAATACGCAGATACGCGTGTATAATTCAGCATAAATTTCATGAATATAAAAAAAATTAAAATATAAGCATGATAATAAAAATAAAATACTAAAACATTTTATCTTAATCCTTAACTGTCCCAACTTCATTTTCTTCAATATCACCAATATCAACTTTTTCATTATCATTAAAAATAACACACTCCAATTGTAACTCATCTAATGATGGATTAGCAAACTCAAACATCAAAACACCTTCAAGATAAATGAGCCTTCAACAATGTCTCATAATTTGAATTCTCCTTTTGAATATTAATTTAATACTATTATCTATCTTGATATCTGTCAACTATTAACAAGATTTTACATGTATTAAAAGATTTAATAATATTGTGTATTTCCAATAAAAAACTCTAGCTCTAGTTGTGTATTTTTAATAAATATTATCTAATTTGAAAATAAGTTATTGATAATAACAATAGTTATCTATTAAGTAATTTTTTTTTTTTTTGTTAATCTATAGTAAAAAATAATGAGTTTTAAGAGTTTAAAACCAATAAAAATCTTCTTCACGTGTTTCAACATATCCGATACATATCGAAAATAATTAAATAATATGTATTTGACACACAATAAAAATTTTAAAAAATATAAAATAATTTAAAAAACACATCTGGTACGCATCGAAGCGTATCAAAGAGTATCCAAGCTTGGATACATATCAAATTCAAGCTGGCCCGGACATCCACGGTTATAAAAAAAAAGAATCCGTACTTTTTGGCCAATTGTTACATAAAATATCAAAATTCATAATAGAAAAAACTGAGAGAGAGAGAAAGAGACGGAAAGGGTAAAAACTTTAGACCACCTTACTACGTACAAGAGGCTATCCATTGGAAAAGTAACAACACATTCTAACAAGCACTCAAAAGTAAACAATTTCATTTTAGTTTGGTATTAACACCTAAAATTGAATACCATCATTAAGATTCATGGGCACTAATTCCAGCAAATTTCAACAAGAGCACTAGGAGAACGTAATCAAATAACACCCAAAAGTTCTTAATTGCATAGAGAACTTTTTAAATTAACCTAAACCTTCTGCCATAGTATTGTACTGCACATAAATATAAATCTACTCCAGGTGAAATAAGTAGAAAATTTAGAGTTTTAGTTATATTAGAATTTATTATTTTTATCAAATGGGAATTTATTTTTGTCATTCATATATGTGTTTTATTTTATTCAGAGTCTTCTGTTATATGTAAATTCCACCAAAGGCCTGCTTGGGAAATTTTTCCCCACCAATTTTGGGCCCTTTTAAGTGGCACCGTTTGAGGTTGAAAAAATCGGTGTTCGTTAATTTTTAGAGCACTGGTTCTAGGTGGTCAAAATAGTTTAATGTGGAGCGTATTTCTCACCCCACCAAATCAGTGATTTTTTTTGTCCTTCCAATTTTACCCTTTATAAAACAATTATTTACAGCCCACCTATTTTGTTCAAAACTAACTTATAAATATAAATATAATTACAAAATAATTATTTAGAAGTAAAAAATTACTTTATAAATAAAGAAATCCTTCTTGTATAAAAAAATTGCTTATTAAAAAATATTACTAATAACACAAAAATTCGCTTATAAAATATAAAATATTAAGTAAAAAAAATTATTTATGCGTAAAAAATTATTTATAAATAAAAAATTAACTTGTAACTATAAAATTTACTTACAAGTAAAAAATTAATTATAACTTTAAAATTTAATCACAAGAACATATTTCACTTTTAAGTAAAATATCACTCGAGTAAAAAAATTTCATACAAGAAATTATAAATTCCCTTCTCGTAGTTAGGACTTGATCCTACACCATCTGGTGATCAGCTTCGTGATACCATTTCGGTCTACACATGGCTCAAATCTATTAGGTGGTGGCTTATGTCATGGTTCCTTTTACTAGGTACGGGACTTGAATTTCACATCGAAGGTATGGATTTTTGAAGTGTGATTTATATAGACTTGAGCTCCCCAACTTTAATAATTAGCTTTTGAGGTATGACTCTCCCAAAATCTATATCAATGATATCAAAGCAGGTATTATGTCTCCCAATTGCGATCGAGCAACTTGGATGGTGATGTCGGCAAAGCAGTGTTCGTCAAAGACTAGTACAAAGTCAGTCCGATCCCACATCGAAGGTATGGACTTTCTACGTGTGATTTATATAGACTCGCGTTCTCCAACTTAAACAACTAACTTTAAGGTATGACTCTCCCAAAATCTATATCAATTCATGATTCCCTTTGCAAGGTACGTGACTTGAATCCCATATCAAAAGTACAGGTTTTCGATGTGATTTATATAGACTTGAGCTCTTAATAGCAAGCTTTTAAGATAAGGCTCTCCCAAGATCTATATCAATGGTACCAGAATAGGCACCACGTCTCCGATTGCAATCAAACGACATGGATGGTGACGCCGCATAACAGTGTTCGCACGAGACTAGTCATAGGCTAGTGCAAAGCCATTCCGACATGGGGCGCGGCGATCGTAGATCGTGGTGAATTGTCATGATTCCCTTTGCAAAGTATGGGACTTCAATTCCACATCGAAAGTATGGGCTTTCAACATGTGATTCATATAGACTTGGCTCTCCAACTTCAACAACTAATTTGAGGTATGGCTCTCCCGATATCTATATCAGTTTATCGAAGTAAATTCCGCAAAAATTAAAAATTTCACTAAGGGGCGTATATATAATTTTATTCTTTTAAAAAATTTTAGAACCGCTAGATAATAGACTCTTAAGTATAGGTTGGACTGTTTTAAAAATTAAGTGTTTGGTGCATATTAAATTGAGAGTGCATTTTTTTGAAGTGATGTGATAGAGAACATGTGGTTGAAAAAGAAGAAAAAGTTATTGATGTGATGGAAAATATTATTTTATTAAAGAATGTGTGGTTGAAAACGAGTATAAGAATGCTAATGAGAAAAATAATGTGGCTCAAACAGGGGGCTAATACTAAAAATCATCCAAAACTGGACCCTTCATAAATGCCTAAAACCAGAAAACCCATAACTGATACCCTAAAACTCCCAAGAAGACCCTAAGTTCTACTGAAGTTAAAAGACTACATTCTATAAAAGGGGACTTTACTTTTTCAAGTAGAACAAAACTAGGAACATTATCTACCGTAGAAACAAAATGGACAATGGAATTAATTGTTTATGCTATAAAGAACCCATAAATAATTGTCTATGCATAGAGCTAAAATGGAAACTATGCTTACCATAACCCAAATTCGAAAAAATATTACGTATCCTCACTCTATGGATTATTAAGCAATATGCAAGAAGCAAAAGTAGCTTGCACACATGGTTGGACCATTTAACGGACTAATACTCCATAATTAGTGGTTAAGTAACACCACTATGCTACATTAATCATATGAAAATCTTTATTCCCCAGCCCCCTCTAGATTTTTTCTTGCATCACATAGGATTTAAACTGTCCAAGCTTTAGAAAATTGAATAAACTTCAAACCAAGTTAAAGATTATTTTCAAGTATAGCCAGTGTAAAAGAGTCATACTATTATGTTCAGTTCACTTCTAAGAGTTGCAATCACCACATTTAATTATTAGGAATAAGAAGTCGTGCAAATTCATATACTAAATATCCTTGGAAACTATAAAAAGTTGACACCAATCACCATGGACGCCTATTAAGGGTTAGACCAATTGTTATATGAACTTAAGCTTCCGTTTGAATTAAAAGGGCAAAATGAGCCCTAACAAAAGAATAGGCATAATTGATGTTCCAAATGCATCTAAGTTAGCGCATGTTTGGGCTCCATTTTAATTTTAATGCATTTTTTTCTTCTTTTTAACCACACATTCTTCAATAAAATAATATTACACATAAAACCAAAATTGTTCCTTCTTTTTTAACCACACATTCTCCAAAAAAATCAATATTCCAAAATACATTTTTCCCGATTAACTAATTTTAATGGATCCCCAACATTTCAGGCCACACGAAGAGAAGTATACATAACAACCTGGTAATCCACAATTTCACTTTCATTATCAAATCAAAATGAAAAGTTAGACAAGATTCCAAATCAACTAGTTAATGACAATAAAACAATTTTATGCCAAGGCCAAGAAAATGAACAAACCTATTGGATAAAACATGAGATGGCATCATGATCAAATCAGATTCATAGCCCCTGTTTGGGCTCCATTAAAATTTAATTTTAGGAAAAATGTATTTTATGGTGGTAATTTTTTGAAAAATGCGTGGTTAAAAAAATACAAAATTTTTTTCGATTTACGCATAATATTATTTTATTGGAGAATGTGTGGTTTAAATTATGAGAGAGAAATGCATTTTACCTAAAAGGGAGCCCAAACAAGGGCACAATATAATATGATTGCAGTCGTCTTTGCAACTATTAAGTATTATTCGCACATATGATGCTCGGACTCTTCAAAATGACAGGAGTATTTGATGTGTAATTAACTCATTAAACAAGTACCTTTAAATTATAGTTTTTGGTTTGTTCTCGAGCACTTTTGAACATTTTGATGTGTGTTTGTAGTTAGACAACTTGGATGAAAATGGAGTGGTTTGGAATAGAGCTAACATAATGATCATGGAAGGAGGCATGGAGTGGAGATGAGGGGAGAGGAGAATGAAGTGCAAAGGAGGCCTAAAGATGAGCAAACTAAGTAAAGAAGAAAAAGCAATAAGAAGAGTTAGCATAAGTGTGGGCGCCTAGGCGCCACATTTGGGCGCCAAATTATGAAACCCAGTAGAGCTGCTGGCGCCGCGACGCCAGTCTTAGAGCTGCGGCGCCAGCAGCAGGAAGAATCAGCAGAACTGCTGGCGCCGCGACACTAGTAGAAGAAAAATCGCAGCGCCACAGCGCCGCCTTTCGGGTAAAAGGAAAACGTGATTTTCTTTATTTTTTCAGCCCGGCCCAACTCCAATCCGTGTTGATATCTTAAGCTATTAATACAAACTGGAAGACCTAATTGAGGGGGGAGAAAAGCGACTTAAAAGACAAGGAAAAGGAAGAATCATTGAGAGGAAATCATCAACGAATTGGAGAATAAATCAAGCGGCAAAACAATTTTTATCATTCTTTTCTTCTCCATGTTCTTTACTTTAGCATTTAATGTGTCGTTTTCAGTAATTATGAACTAAATCTTTAGATCTAGGGTTTGATGTAATCGACTTTGATTCCTATATATTTAGTTCTTTGGGATTTTTCGTTAATTTATTTGTGTTGTTTGTGTGTAATGCTTTCAATTAATTGGCCAATAGTTAAATGAATTGATGCGTAAATTTCGACACTCGAAAAAGGGAAATTTAGGAGTGATCTAAGAACATAACCTAAGTTTCATAAATTTCGAGAGATAGTACGAATCTTTGAGGCTTATTTGAATTAAGAACCACGTGCATCGATAATCTCTATAAATTTAATTCGGAATAGAGATATTGGAATTAAACTATAGAGATAGGTTCTATTCGGCACTCGAGAAAGGAAATAGAATTAATTTAAGGTTCTTGCCCATAAATTGAGAAAAAATTGATTGAATTAACGTTACAGGTTGAAAAACATTGTCGATAGTGCGATGAAATCATTCCCTACGCTTTCATAATTTGATAACTTCTTGATAATTTGCTTCTGTTTACTTGTCGTTTTTATTCCATCTACGTTAGATTAAAATCACAATATTGATTCAACTTTGATTGTCTAAATAAAGTGAAAACTAAACAATTATAGTACTCGGTAGAAATCAAGTATCAATCCTTGTGGATTCGACATTTTCCATTTCATCACTATATTACAAAACTTCGCACCGTACACTTGCGGCATAAATCACAGTATAGAAAACGTGTGACAGTATTCATGTCGACACGACACAAAGTACGGGTACGAGTACTTCAACCTGACACGACAATTTGTACATGGGTTTATATCTTCCAGCTGTTGCATAATTTTCGTGATTTTAGTCAAATGAGCTATGAAGCTTACAAACGCCTTGAGACTACGCCTCACCTTGTGAAGGAAAAAACCTTAATACCCAATTATGCTTTTTAAATATTGCATTTACTCAAAATGATGTCCCATATTTAATATCGACAATTGGTCAAGACAAAAGATTGACGTCCTTGGATTACAAAGTTCCAGTCTACCTCATCAGAGTCAAGTTCTCTAAACCGGGGAGAAATTATTAAGATCAAGATAGAGATGTTCATAATTTTAATGCAGAGCTTAATTTGAATTATAAGTGTTTTAATTAGATTAGATTAGTTTGTTTGTTTTGATAAAGTTCTAGTTTAGTAGAAGTTCGTTTATTTTTTTCTTCTAGATTTCTTGCTCTATAAATAAAGGACTTAAATCATTCTAATAAATAACCTGATTATATGAATAAAATTGATTTTCCTCTAGACATAAATTCTTCTCTTCTTCACACCCCTTTTCTTAATCTTCAATTGTTTGTTGTCATTATACACTCCTGCGTTAAATAAGTCTCAATGCACGCACCTCTAACCACGAGAGGCATGCACTCCACTCTAATAGATAGGAGCCACTATTCATTTAAACCTAATTAATTACATGCCTCAATGCGCACAACTCAGACCACGAGAGGCATACACTCCTCTTTAATCAGTCAAGGCCCACTATTTATTCAAACCTACTTACATGCCTCAATATGCACAATCAGGAGAGGCATACTCTCCTCTTTAATCAACTATGGACCACTATTAATTTAAACTTAATTTGCCCCTATTTGGCCCCCATTTTTAGGGTGTTGAAATTTTTTGGAATAGTGATGGACGAGAGAATGTGTGGTAGAAAAGTAATGAAAAAATTTAGATTTGTGTATAATATTATTTTATTTGATGAATGTGTGGTTGAAATGAAGGGAGAAAAAATTAATGTAATGTAATGTAAAAAAATGGGGGCCAAACGGGGGCTTTATTAGTTGACCAGTTTTAAAAAATTCAATATTTATTTAAACTAACCAATTTTTTTATATTTATTAATTAGCCATAAGTCAGAATAAACTATGGGGTTGTTTGATGGAAATTAAAATTAGATTTTTAGAAGATTTTGATAAAAGTTGATGGATTGTGTGGTTGAAAAGTTGTAGGACCAATAAAATATGTGATTAATATTAATTGTTTGACTTTGATTTAGATTAAAATTTGATTTTAACAATACCAAACAAGGGCTATATGTCTAAAACCAAGACATAACACAGCCCACAACACAAGTAAATCTATGTTAGGCACACTGACTCTAGAATTACGGCACACCAGCGACTCACAACAGCACACACTCTAGAATTGAATTGATACTTTCAACTTATTCTATTTATTTTTGACTAATTTTTTTAGTTCATGTGGCTTAAGCCTAGCCTCACAACGGAAAAACACCTTGATACCTGATTTGCCTTTTTTAAAAGACTAATGTCCACGTATAGAAATGGAAAGAACTAGAACAAATTTGTTTATGAATTACTTTCAAAACTTCTAACCAAAAGTATCAATTCTGGTGATCGTATCGCCCACATTCATAAAGCTTCTTCGCACATCTTACAATTTAAATGTAATGCTGCGCTAGATCCATGTGCGTGGAAAACATTCGACTAAAAGCAACAAAGTCATCTCTTTTAAAACATTTGACCATCTTGCCTAAGTCATTAGTTCCCACAATATGGTTGTCATATTAGGTAGAGAAACAGATCTCAACTAACATAATCATCAAAATTCCTAAATTGAATCGAGTCCCAATTCATAAAAGTGAACAGAAAACGCATATTAGTTAATAGCGTGGATTATACAAAACTGATTGGTCAAATTTATCACTCCTTATCTTCTTGGAAGCTCCAATACACTAAGATGCACGGCCATAAGAACCAAGTATCTATGTCTGCACAAGTAGCCAAGTTTTAAAAGTCCATGATGGAAGTCGCCAAGTTTTAAAAGTCATTGAACAACTAGTTAAATTCAAAACTTTCAAACATTATAAGCTCCACCCTCACAAACTGAAAGGTCAATCATTTTCTTCTTTTTTTTTCCTATTAGAACTCTAGAAGACCACATCTTAACCATATGATGATCATATAATTTATAAATTGAAGCAGCAATGAAGAGATATGAATATAAGAAAGAAATTGTGAGGACATACTTCTTCAATGCTGGTGCTATGGTCAGTGGACAACTGCAATGCAGATAACCTCATAGCTTGGTGAACATGATCTCTGTTTCTCTTCTTATTTTCTCTCTCACTAACATCAGCAAGCTCTTCAATTATACCCTCAGCATTCAACCCATCATCCCATGCAACCTTCGATTCTTCGCTAGAACTAACCTCTTCAGGTTGGTGCTGTGCAACAATAGCCCGACTATCGCCAACATTCATCACATAGACATCTTCATCCCTCATCAACACAACCAACAAGCAAGAACCCATCAGTGCAAGTTCGGGATACTGGTCAAGAACCTTATCTGTCATATCCAAATAAGCATGTTCTGTGACCTCGAGTGCCCTAGACATTGCCCTCAGAACCAACTCATGATCAACAGGACCCACTTTCGGCTTCCTCCCATTTCTACTAATCCTCTCCCCACCCTCCTCCCCCTCCCCCTGCCCCTCCACTACTCTATTACTCTCCTCAATTTCACCTACCACTTTCTCTTTCCCCTCAAACCAAAATCTCCAAGGGAAAAATCTCTTACCATCCTTGTGCTTACTCAACAAACCATGTTTTAGTTTTGATAACAATAAAGACCTCCTACTCACAGCTGAACCTGCAACGTTAAGGTTCAAAGCATCATCGACTGAAAATGCGAATCTATCAGAACCTGATAAATCTAGCCCCTCTTCTGGATCATCTTCCGCTAAAAATTCCCATAATCTTCTCCTCCTAACCTCAATTTGCTCCTCTTGAAATGAAACCTTTTTTACTGATTTTGTTTCATTTTCAGCTGCCTCCCCTTCTTTAGCCTCTTCATTTTCTTGGTTTTGTGAAGATAAGTTGGAATTATCCGCAATAACTGCATTTTCAGCAGCTACAACTGCTTCGTCAGTGTCCCAAAACAAACCCTCTAGTTCATTGTACATGGCTTTGTATAAATTGCTCATGAGGAACTCGGGGGCATCAGGGCCATTAAATCCATCATAAATTCCGACAAAAAGCCATCCATGCTCTTCTGATACTACCACATGTACTCGATCCTCCCCTGCCTTACCCAAGGCCCAATGAACATTGCTGTCATTCACCATCTCGGTCCTTCTACCGCTCTCTCCAGATAACGGGATATTCTTCCTGCCTCCACCAACTAAATACCGTACTGGCACCACCCAAGGGCGCTTCCTCTCAGAGAAGTTCCCGAACAATGCTTTGCGAATTCCAGAAATAACCTTCTTCCGCTCTTTTACGCACACATTACCCAAAGGTGCTGAAAATGGCACCCTGTTGCTGTCAGGCCCGATGCCTCCGGTAGAGGTATCCAGCGGTCCTGACAAGGCCCCGCGCTCGATTGGGCCCGACATGAAGAACGCCCGCTCCAGCGGCCCAGACGGTGGCTCGCCTTTGTGGTCACGAGGTACCGGCTGCAAAGGCAAGGCGCTAAAGGACGACGTGCTCTCAAACCCATTCACAACACTGCCCTTGGTTCCAGCATAATAACCAGGAGCGTTGCTGTTATGGTTAATCTCGATGGCGTCGTCGTAAATATCGTCAATAACAGTTCTGGGAGTAGAAGTATTTGCACTAACAGAGGCACCGGAAATAGCTCGGAAACCGGTTTCTGGCAAGCCGGGCTGTTTGGGTCTTTGCGGTTGAGCTGGATCATCAAAGCGTAGGGACTGGGAGGGGGAAACAAATCGATCAGAGTGAGTAGGGGAAACAAAGCGAGCAGAGGACCGGACGTAACAGAAGGAATGGCCTAGGGTTTCGTCAAGTGGTTCGCTAGCTGAGAAAATGACAACATCTTCGCCCCGGTTCGCACCGGCCGACGGGCTGAAACACGGGAAAACCTGCGAAAATCCTGCCCCCATCACATCCGTCGGTTCATTTCGCACCCTTGACCCAAAAAAAAAAAAAAACAAGAAAACAAAAATTAATAAAAGCTTAAATATTGAATGTGGGTTTGGGAGAGAAATGAAAAGGGTCAGTTTTGCTGCTGCTAAGATTTGTAGAGACAGAGATAGAAACTTGTTTGCAGAAAAATGGAGGGGAGGCGGTGGAGAGAAGTGGGAGTGATGGTAGAGTTTAAATATTTTTGCGGTTTAATGAAGTTAAAATAGAAAGCAAAGAGAAGACTTATGTTTTCCTTTTTTTTCAACGCGCTGCTAATATAATATTGTAAATACATGTGCTTCTGGGAGACTTCTCCCGCATTTTCAAATTCAAGAATACGGTGGAATGGGTCACCCAACCCAACCCTTTTTGTTATAATTCGTTCATATTTCAAAATTAAACTTTTTTTTATTTAATAAAGAAAAAAAAAAGAGATAAAGGAATTATTCCAAAATGTTGACTAAGAAAAAGGAAAAGTAAAAAAATTCAAACTTTATTCAATGCCAACTTTTTAATATTTTGGGTATTATGATGAGAGGAATTTCATTTTTTCTAAATTAAAAAAAGAAAAATGCAAATGAAGACCGAAAGAGAAGGAGAACCAAACATTTGACTTTGTAGATTACAAAAGAATTAAATTGATTAGATCGTATACGATATATCTTTGAAATATCAACAAAGGAAAGAAAAATAAACTTGGAGAAGAGTAATACTCAAAATCGGTATATGTTATAGTAGATCCCACTAATTTATTATTCAATTAATTTATTGGATAATCAATACAGGTACTTAGCACAATGTAGGTGATAGTTGACTCAGTTGATGCATTATCCAATGAGCTTATTGAACAGTGAATCGAGTTGGGTCCACCGCCACCTAAACTTAATAATAATAATAATAATTTCAAATTCATTACAAATGTAAAAGATAAGAGTATTACTATTTAACTTCATTGGAGTTATAATTTCAGTATAATTAATGAGTCATTTAATTCTACATTTCATTTAGTCTATCACCTAATACCATATAAATTGAGATTATAATCTCAATAAGGTTAAATAGCATTATTCAAATGAAAGAGGGAAATTTATTATGAAATGGAGATTTCTATAATTTTTGGAAAGGCACGACTTTTCTTTATATGCCATTGAGCCTCATTTTTTGGATAATAAATTTTGTAATAGTGATTTTTTAAAAACAATATGTGTTGTTAAAAATAGAAAAAAAAAAATTATTTTATTGTGAAAATACGTGATTGAAAATGAATTTGAAAAAAAAATTAGAGAATGAATCTCAAACAAAGGCACATGACTTCATAATTTTTTAGTCTGTTTATTATATTATATTTCGGCATTTTGAGAACCACGATAACTCTAGCTTTTCAAGGGTTGAATTTTATAAATTTTATATCTAATGATATCGGAGATAGAACTTAGAAAGTCTTTTCAATTTTTATTTTGTTAAATACTATGTTGTATATTTATTTAATATTGTTATTCATCAAACGATGAACAATAGTCTATGTGATGGTGAAATCATTACCACGCGTCACTTAGACTATTATTCATCTGATGAATAACATTACTTGTATCATTATTGATGGTGATTATTATAGAGATTTTAAGTTATGGGAGTACAATCAAATTTTTAAAAAAGTTTTGAGAAATTTTACACTTGAAAATTTACATAAAAATAAATCATATCCCGTGTATATATACGGTTGGAAAATCTAAACCTCCATCCGCATTTTTTTGTGGCATCTAAAAACCCATTAAGATTGTGTTGATGTTTTGCTTTAAAAAAATGCATCACAACTCCATCGTACAATGGACTATTACCATCTTGACGGATGATACTGTCATGAACTTGTACAATATTGTCTTGCACTTATTACACATGCACGACAAACTTAACAAAGAATAATATTAGCATAATGAATAAAAGAAGACTTAACATCAAAATTTTAGCTAACAATCGGATTTTTACTAGAATTTTATAAAAAGTTGTTGAAATGTATGGTTGAAAAATTGATAAAAATTGTGAATCCCGTAAAAGACATAGTCATAAATAAATTTGAGGACAAATAAATTTTAAAAATCGAAAATCTAACATGGACTCCATAAACTGGTTGTTGTCCACCATTACCCATGTACTTTCATATGTGTTCAGTTTCCCACTTTAGCATCCCACTTTGAATCTTGAAAATGATCTTCTGTAACTTGAAGTTTGTCTCTATAGAAATTCAATATGGACTGTATGACTTCTGTTTGAGAGTCTATAATTTGATCGTCGTGTAAGGGATCGAACGGCACTCAAGTTGTCATACAATGTGACTAGTATTTGATAAATAGAAGGTAAGAGTTCCTAAGCCCATTTTTTTTTGGTGAATAAATTTTGTAATAGTAAATTAGAACAAAAAAATGTTTAGTTAAAAAGAATGAAAATTTTTGAATTTACATGTAAAATTGTTGACATACAAAACCGAGGCCCAATTAAATGGTCCAAGAAATGGAGTCCAGTTAGGGAATTTGAGGGATGGTCTCAAATGAGACCATTGTAAAATATAGTGGAGGTCCATAAACGGAGGACTATTATCACCCAAGTTTGCAGGACACCCATGATCTGAGCGAATGAAGTACCTTATTGCCGTTCAGAGCGACAGTCTCATTTTCACCCAAACCTTCGAGACGTCCAAAATCTGAGCGAATATATCGTCATGTTGTTGTGTAAAGCGGCGGTTATTGAGCAATCTTATCACGTTCCACGATCTAAGAATCTCGGTTGCAAGCAGTTAAAAGAGGGGAGTAATAGCAGTAGTTTAAAAACGGCGGTTCCTTGACACGTCGCTATTATGAAGCAAGTGGGTAGTTATATAGACAAACAGTTTCCAAATGATTTTACAAGGAAAACTGACAAAAGAGTATAAAAGAAAAAAGAAGACATAGAAGGAAAGACATCAACTCAATCACTTTTAAACAGAGAATTATGTAATTTCATTTTGTTTAGTTCTTATTGTCAACTTTCAAATTACTTTGTGTGCTTGTACCCCTTGGAGGCGTTTTACTTATTCCTAGTTGTAATCTTCATAATAAAGCACCCCTCGTTGGGACTTTATCTCAAAAGGTTTGTTTCTTACACAATCGTTTGAACCATCTTTTAATTGTTGGCGATGCTCGATAATCCGTGCGAAACAAAAATATTTTATTGAAAAAATATGTGGTTGAAAATGAATTTGAAAAAAAATATGAATTATAAAGATTGAGGCTCAAATGGGGACTTAGTAATTCTAGCCGTGCTAAACTTACGAATATCAAGTAGGGCGATCACTCGCCACATATACGAGTTGGGCTGACTCGACCTCGACTCATCACGGAGGTGAGTCATGGGATAAGTCGAGCTAGGTTTTTTTTCGTACGAGCTACTCACTAACTTGTATGGTCTGGTTCGTTCATGCGAGTCGCATACAAAACATTCATTTGCTTTTTCGTGAATTTTCATTGGCTTACCGGGAAAAATGGGATGTGCATTTTGAATTCACGTTCGAGTAATGAAATATATCACGGGAGAGAGATGGAAACTGATCAATTAATATGTACTTTTATCCAAGAAAAGGGTATTTCTAGTTTGCATAGTCCATAATTGATCCAAAATTTTCTACAATAAATTGAGTGGGTTATTAGTGTAGTTCTCTATCCACGATTTTACTATCCACTAAAATTATTTTACTAAAATAATATAGAATGAATTATCCGAAGATTATAAATTTAAAGAGTAACACCCTATTTAATGCACATTATTCTCTCAAGAATGCATTTTAAATAGTGATTTGGAGGAAAATATATGTGCTTAAAAAATAAGAAAAAAAATTTGAATTTGCTTGTAATATTATTTTATTAAAAAATGTGTGATTGAAAATGAAACAGAAAAAATGTATCTTTAAAAGAATGTGTATAAAAAATGATGCAAGTACGACTTTTAATGTTTATGTAAAACTACAAAAGTACCAAATATTCTAATTGACTAGATTAATATTTGTGAATAATCATGTATCAATTATTCATTGAATGATAAATAATTACAAGTGATAATGATACACGAGTCAAATATGGAAAACTCAATATCTAAAATAGTATCGAGAATGACTTTCCGATACTAAGTATTTACTTTTTGACATATAAATAATATAACTTGTATATAAGAAGTTATATAATGATTTACATACAGATGAGTGTTAAAAAAAAGAGTGATTTTTTTTGTTTTTAATTTGGTTGAGAAAATTTTAATTTAATCATATCTCACATCATTATGTGTATATAAACCAATATGTAAACATATTATTTACATATAGCACAATCATCGATATATTTGAATAATTTTCTAGGTGTACGTTGTTTGATTGGAAGACTCTAATGTAACTAACTCTTTTACAAAAAATAAAAGCAGAAGCTATCGCAAACAAACTTATAGTTTGTCAAACCAAGCTTGCCTCTACCTTTGAATCCCTCATGCTAGTTCATGTAGTGTTCGAATTTGATAGGCCTATTAAATGAATTTTTAAGTAACGTTGAGAGATTTTTTAAGAATTAATCTACTTATACATCATTAATTTTGCCATCCTCCTATGCGTAAGAAATTTTGGTCATAAATTTGAATAAATGTTGTTAAAATCAATGGCCATTATGTTGTCACATCAAACAATGTCAATCAACTTTCAAACTTAACGTACATGTAGCAAAACTGACTTTTTAAATGGATACTAGGTCTAATTAATTAAATTAATTATGTGGTAATTAATTATTGTGACAAGCAAATTATTTTAATATTATTTTATTGAATATTGTGTGGTTAAAGAGAAGAGAGAGAAAAATATATTTTAAAAATAATGAGATCAAACAAGGTCTAAATGTCATTAACCTTTATTCATTATTAAATTTATATTCTTAACTTTTTTATTAATCATATTCTTATTTTTAAAATT